AACTACCCAGAGCGACACGGTGCCTAGCAACCCAGCTACGTACAGGTCACTTCCCTACGACTAAGTCATACCGATACCGATTCAAGCTAATCGACTCACCGAAATGCAGGACGTGCGGCATAGAAGATAGCATCTCGCATAGAATATTTATATGTAGAAGACACATAATGGCAAGAATCACCTTGCGAAGAAAGATAACCAAGATCAACATTCGGTTCGAATTAGGTCCAATGCTCAGGAACGCACAAGCTCTTCAAGCCCTTTACGAGTTTTTCAAACCACAATTGACTACGTACCCAAGATACTCCGGTGGTTCGGCGTAACCGAGAAAATTCCCGGACACGCAAATCATCAAGACATTTTACGACACTAGTCAAGAAACGCTTCCTACCAATTCAACATGCCATTCAAATCCTCATGCTTTAAGAAGTATTGATGGACGCAGTTTAACTTTGTATCGTCTTAACAATATATTTAGATTTCATCATCATCATCATCATCTTCATCGCACTGTGTTGGAATACAAATACTGGGATTGAACATATAGAGTCAAACATTCATGAAGAACGGTCACAACTTACCAACCAGAGACATCAAGGGATAGACATAGCTTACCAACTAGAGACGTTGAGGCAGACATAGCTTACCAATCAGAAACACACCGCGAGAGAGAAACAAAGGAACAAGATCAATGAGACAGTGAAAATATGAGATCAAAAAGTATTGTATTAGGAACCATCATATACACTCTATTCATTTTATAAAACCAACTTTTATCGCTACATCCCAAAACAATTGCCTATAGCTCGTCGTGTCATAGACTGTACTTTATCATATGTAGGTTCACCTTTTTCATTGCCTTCGCAAGCATAGAACAGCTGTTGCTACAGTCCACAGTGTAGGCTGGCCTACCAGTCGATGTCATCGCAAACTCAACCTGCCTGCACCTTCATGATCTAATACTGCGCAACCTATGACCCTCTCTGTTCACGAGCCCATTTCCTTACTATAACAATTAAGGCATCATGTATGGTTGCTGTTTGAGCTGTTGTACCGCAGTTTCCTGAATTTCTTGTCTGAAAAGACACTTTATATTTATCATGCAACCATGTTGCCAACTGATTGTGGCAAGTTTTCCAATAACCGCTGTTATGATAATCTTGGACAAGGGAATCAATAACCCTCCAAAAGCCTGTTCCAGCCACTCCCGCGGTAAAGACAAGTTACCATTGTTGACTGGCTGGTATCCCACCTGCATCCCGTCCTATTATGACATCTTTCCTGTCATGGTGTATCGCGTCTTCTAAGAATACGATTTGGTTCTGCTCTTGATCTTCCACGTAATGTGGATCCAGTACACGTTCTCTGTTGTCTTCTGGTTTGTTATCTCTTTTCGAGTAACCACCAGCGCAACATCCTCGCATCCTAACCTTTTGGCATGGTGTGATATATTGCTCTCATCATCCTGAGATAAGGATTAGAAACAGTCTCTATCAAACTTCCATTCACTGAATAAATGTTGATTTGTTCTGGTTCTGACTAATTTATAACGGGGTACCATTCATCTACATCAAATGCTGCATCGTCCATCATAAGTCTCGTGGTATCAAAACAATTTCCATCTTTGTCCACAACAAAATTACCAGTAGCATTATGAAAATAAAATAAACCCTTGTCAGGTCTGTTCTGTAGAAAATCAGACCTTGAAGAGGTTTCAGCAGCGTCGACAACCACCAGACAAATATAAGAGAGCCACATAAAAAGGCCCAGTTTCTTGAAGCTAGAGAGTTTCGAGTTGCATCCCATGAAATTGATATGCTTGTGCCCATACCATTTTCCGCTGTCATAATTGTAAGATCGTTCTAGTAAAAGTTTTACTTTTTTAATACAAAAAAACAAAAATTGATCGATCAACAATCGAATATGCATTATCTACATGATCAGGAGGTTATCTCCATGATCATGAACGAGTGTTAAATAGAGTACATGATACTTTCAAGGTATATAACTAAACCGAATTGATATTCTGAAGAACAAACTCTGAGGAAAGCCAGTGCTATTCAAATGGACTTGATCCGTTATGTCTCTTTGGAAACAAGACTTACGACAATATTGGTCTCTTGCGTGACCTATTTGTGGGCATTTCATTGATGATAAATGCTTAGTGGCCTTTGCATGGCAGATTGACGTCTACCTCATGCTGTTGACATGAGACAATTCAGTCTGGCAATCTAAGTTTTCAATACCCAGTAACCAAGATTGAATGCACTGTTTGTATTAGCTGTTACAATTATCGCCAGATGAATTACCTGAGCTAGAGTTTGAACAAGGTGAAGTTGGTTGTGCTTGAGATTTTTCAGTAAATGATGTTGACTTTCCGAACTTGAAGATGATTGCTGAGCAGCAAAATTGTTAGAATTACTATCAGTTGAACCAGATGAGATATCAAATTAACTAATAGTTACTGGCTCTGGACCTGGCAATTGGTATGACAATCAAACATTGTTCAGATGTAGTTATCTTGTTCAGGATATAATGGAGTATTTAAGGAGAAACCTAAAGTCACCTATTCCAATCAAAATCTGACAACCCGTCTGCCTTAACTAACATCCTCAACCCTGAGTCTATCTATCACTGGCCTCAAACACCATAAGAGTACAATACCATGCAGGAAAGGAAAGACATGAATAAAAGGAAATATAAGTAAAAGGCATTTGCACTCATGAGCGATTGGCCGATATATTCATAAAGTACTAAATGGCAACCATTCAAAACGATTATGTAATAGAATGCATATTAACATACTCAATAATTTCCTAGTAGCAGCCACGTTAAGAATAAATGAATCACATTTTACACAGACCGAGGAGTGTCGGACTTCAGATACAGGTGCTGAACATACAGCGTCATATTTGGATATGAATATGTAAAATTTTCTATATAATTCTAATTGGCCTCAGAAGTAATACATTATTTCGTTCCTTTTATATGTATTTGCATGTCTCATTAATCTTGTGTTGGTTTGTAAATATCAAACGCGCTTTATTATTGGTGGAAAAAGGTATTAAATATAATGTGATCTTAAGCAGATGATGTGTAATTAAGAAAGAAATAAAGAAAACAAGTGTAAAAACATCTTCGAAGAAAATCATTAGTTTTTGAAAAGACAATTTGCCAATATCTTGTCAAACAAATCACCTAAACCTTCATCTTTTAGAAGCTAACACTGAGGTGGCTGAACTGGAGCCCCCTCAGCGAAATAGTGAGCATAAGTAGCCGATGGTCCATTAGCTTCATCCCAAATGCCCCTCTCATCTTCTTAATTATTGCGTTTGCCTTGCGGTGGTCTATTATTGTAAAGAGCTTAGCAGATTTCCTCTATCTTCCCATCGATACGGTGGTAAAATTCCTGAGCCTCGCAGATACCGCAAGCATCATCTTTGGATACATTACATGTGTAAGAAGGCTTGTTGTCTTTGGAAGCATTTTGGGTGATGTAAAAAGTGGTAACCCCACCTACTATTGCAAAAGCTATATTTATTACAGTGGCCCTAGCCAAATACGGCCACTTTTCTAAAATCCAGTTCTTAGAGCTCTCTTTTATATTGTCGCATGTGTACGGGTCTAGTCGATCAAATAGTTCTTGAAAATTGGACACTGCTGGAGAATTTTCGCATACGCTGAGATGTTGGCAGATAGGCCCACCCTGCCTCTTAGATAACTGACTATCCTCATAATGATACTGGGCCCCCATGGACCTATTCCATGCCTCATTAGGGAACAAATCCAAAGGCAGAGGATCATAAGCAAACATCTCCGAATGAACTCCCTCTTTGGAACCGGGAATCTTCTTCCAGTAGAAATCCAAACTTTCATTAGGTGGCGATGCTTGAGGGAAATCACTTTCCTCTTCTGACTCTTTCAAAGCGTTAACTCCGTAAGTTTGCTCTCCAAGTGCGTGGTAATCCGACCATTTAAAGTGAACAAACTCTTCGGAAACAGCTGGTACAGCTTTGAGTACAAGAAAAAGTCCGCTAAGTTTAACAAACATTATATTTGAGTATATATGTAAATAGGGCGGAATCAATCAAAACTGATAATATAGTGTAGTATATGTAAACTAACTTAGGAAACTTGGAAGCTATATAATACGCAACTAGAGATCTAGAGAAAAGGTAGATCGATACGACTATACTTAATGATAACATCACGATTAATAATGATAAGTATTAGTCGCCTAAGAAAAGTTTTTTTTCTTTTTTTTTATTGATTGAAAAAAGGTATTAAATATAATGTGATATTAAGCAGATGATCTTTTTTTTGTACAAGGTATGATTTCTTATATAGTTTTCATTGTTGCCCGAATATCATTGTTGTTGGCCGTACATCCGTTTTTCTTGCCCGTATCCATTGTTGTTGTTGCCCGAGTATCTGTGCGTAATTGCCTGTCCTTTTTTGTCCCCAGTTATTAAATGATGCTGTATGTCCAGTTCTGTATCGGTATTCTGACACTCCTCCTGCTGTATATACTGCAACTCATTCATTGTTGATGTCTTGTCTATTGTATTACTATTGGATATGTTGATGCCCATTCCCTTACATAATGACCGTAATTGATTTCCGTTTAATGCTTTGGTGAATATATCTGCCAATTTATCATAAGTACGGATTCCCTTTACCTATATTTCCTTTCGTTCATGTCTTTCCTTACCTGCATGATATTGTACTCTTATGTGTTTGAGGGCGGTGATAGATCCAGGGTTGATAATATTTGTTAGGGCAGCAGTATTGTCTGTTTTGATTGTTATTGGTGATTTGAGTTCTCTTCCGAAGTGCTTCATGACGTTTCTTAGCCAAATGGCGATATCGGAGCCGTGTTTGATTGCCATATATTCTGCTTCACCTGTGCTGGTTGCTACACATTTTTGTCTTTTGCTGGTCCATGCTATTTCTCCTCCTGAATATGTATATACACAGCCGGTAGTTGATCTTGCTGTATCCCAGCATCCGGCGTAGTCTGCGTCTACATGACCTTTGATATCCTTTTGTAGTATTACACCTTTACAGTATCTGTTTAGTGGGTTCATTTGTTTCTTGAACTCTATCTTAGTGTCTATGGTGTTCTTGAGGTAACCGTATATCTGTCTTCTGTATTCCAGTGTTTGATGCCAGGATTTTGGGTGTATCTTCCACACATGCTGGTTGCGAAGGCGAAATCTGGTCTTGAAGCTTGTGCTATCCAATTTAGTTTTCCTATTGCTTGTGCATATGGTTTAGATTTCATTTCGTCGCTTTGGTCTTCCGTGTTCGGGGAGTCTTCATTGGATAATGTGAGGTTGGTGCTCATTGGAATGGTTTTCCTTTTTATGTTTTGTAAATTAAGGTCCTCTATGGCTTTGGCGATGTATCCTGACTGGTCTAATGTAGCGATACCCATGTCTTGGTTGTAATCTATTTTCATGCCAAGTATGTGGTTGATTTTTCCCAGGTCTTCCATTTCGAATTCATCTTTTAGTTTTGTTTTGATTTTTTTGGCTGTAGTGGTGGTCCTCGTGAATATGAGTAGGTCGTCTACATATACGCTAATAATTGCGTCCAGTTCTTCTGAGTAGTATAAACATGGTTTGGAGTATGACGATTTGAAACCCATTTGTTGTAGTATTTTGTTTAATACTTCGTACCAGGTTCGTCCGATTTGTCTTAGGCCGTAAAGTGCTTTGTTTAGTTTACAGATTTTCTTGTTTTTCTCGTTTTCGTATGTTCCAGGTGGTAGTTTCATGTATATTGGTTGGTCTATATGTCCATATAGGTATGACCCTGTAACATCCATTTGGTGTATTTGTAGATTTTCTTCAACAGCTATAGCGATGAGTAGTCTTATTATTCTAAGGCTAGTAACTGGGACGTAGGTCTCTTCGTAGTCGATTCCTGGTTTCTGGCTAAATCCTTGGGCGACTAATCGTGTTTTCCATTTAACGGGTTCGTTTTCTGCATTTGTTTTTATGTTAAAAACCCATCTTGATCCTACAATGTTGGTGTCTCTTGGTACATCTTTTGAGTCTATAAGTGTTCATGTCTTATTGCGATCATGTGTAGCCATCTCCTCCTCCATACCATGCCGCCATTTGATGGCATCTGGGTGCGTAATAGCTTGCTTGTAGGTAGTTGGGATGTCATTGGTGGGTTGTAGTTTGGCCAGTGCGTATGCATATCGTATCTTTTTGTTGGGTTCAGCTTTAGTTGCTAACGTATGGTCCACGTGTATTAGTTTGTTGATGGCCTTGTGGAGGAGTAATTCAGGATCTGGGTAGATTCGTTTCTTGTCGTCATTGAACTGTGACCATTGTTCTCTGAGGCGGTCGTAGTGTATATCGGTTTTGGCATCTTCTGCTTTGCTAAGTCTGTTGTCTTCTTGTTCTTTGATGACTCGTGCTGCGTGTCTGGCTTGGCCCGGTTGAATTAGGGTGCCTTTGACACGAGTGGGTGGGGCTTTGCGTTTGGAGCTATGGTTCTCGAATGTGTTGAGCTGTCTTTTATTCATATGTTTGTTTTTAAGTTCTGGATGTAGGTGTCCGCATTCATTTTGTGTGTGTGTGTGGTGCTTTATAGTTGTTGTTCAAACAGTAGGAGCATGATTTGGTGTCGATTCTATTCAGTAGTTCGGTTGTTTGATTTGGTTCGTGTTCTGGTGTCGTTCCGTTGACATTATTTATTTGAGTGACTTGATTTACCAATTTATTGTTATTTGGTGGCTCTAGTTTGATTTGTTTGTTATAGTCTTCTACAATTTTCTTTATTAAGTCATCATAGCTAAGGTCGTCTGAATTATCGAAGTAGTGACGTTTCATTGGTTTTAAATCGGTTGGTAATGCTTGTAATGCTCTGTATTTCAGAAGTTTTTTTGTCTGTAATAATGCTTTCCTTTTGTAATTTGATGGATAACTTTTTTAAGTCCCTATAAAAACTCTTAGCATCCTCTCCGTACGCAAATGTTCTGTTAATAAAGTCTGTGTATAGTGCTGCTATGTCTTCTTTTGGTTCGAAGAGTTTACAGATATCTTGAAAGAGAGCGGAGGCATTATTTGTTTCAGAGTCTATGTCGATTCTGTTAAAGATGTCGGTTGATATGGATTTTATTAAAACGTTGAATAATCTTCTATTTCTTTTCTTATATATATTTTCTTATATATATTTTCAGCATTGATAGTATCTTCGTTTGATGGTGTAGTTTGATCTATTTTCATTTGTGTCTCTTCTGAGTATTGGTCGTTCTTATTTAATAGTTCTATAGCGTTTGATAAATCGATACTTTTGTATAGAATTTCTTTACTGTTTTCATCTTCAGCGAATATTTTAATGTGGGGCTTCCAGTGTTGGAATTCTTCTTTGGCTAATTTAATTATATCGGATGTGTCGTTCATTTTTATATTCTGTGAGGGTTGCTTATTTTTGAGTTATTGGAGCTGATAACTGTTGGTCTGTAAATATCAAACGCGCTTTATTATTGGTTGAAAAAGGTATTAAGTATATTGTGATCTAAAAGTAGATCATAGTTTGTGTACAAGATGTTCTTCTTAAATAGTCTTCACTGTCCGCATGTTCCTTGTTGTTCTCTTGATCTTGCTGCGTCGCAGTGTTCCTCTTGTGCTTGATGTAACTTCTTGTTCCTTCTGTCCCTAGTTGTTAAATGATGCTGTATGTTCAGCCCTGTATCGTTATTCTGACAATAACTTGTTGGTTTGTAAATCCCAGTATTTGTATTCCAACACAGTGCGACAGCTGAAGAATGAAAATTTGCACCATGTTAAGCAACCTACTAATCACCAATAAAAACTCGAAGAAAGTACAAGTGAGTATAGTATAGAGGTTAGTATAGCTCGTTGTGGTTTCCGCAATTCCGAGCAGACGCAGGTTCGATTCCTGCTACTCACATTCTCTTTTTGCGATATTTCCACCACAGGATATGTTTTTTCTATATTATTATATATTTTGCTACATATGTGCAAAACCCCCTTGAGATTATTTTTGAACTGTCCCGGATCTTCCTAAACCATTAGGGAGATTTTTGTTTGTCGTTTCATTTGACGGACTTTACCCTGTCTTCATTATATCTTACTTTTTAAATTTTCAAAGAGGTAATGTCAAAAAGGTCCACAAACGCGTTGAATATATCTCCTTTTACTTTCATATTCCTTTTTCTGGTTTTCTGGCTCTATCAGTTAACATGGTGACCAGAATGACGATGATTATTATACAGCCTCTATGGCACCTTGCAACAGAATATTTACAAAGGAGTCATATAATATTAATTAAGAATTTCACAATTCATATAGTTTTTAGCTCCAGAAACATTGCTTTCTGGGACTCATTAGAGTGTTTTATTAATGAGAACACTAACAGCAGATGTCACGTTTCTGTTGATAGGAAAATAGTATCTTCAATTCAAATAATGATGATGAAATCTAAATATATTGTTAAGACGATACAAAGTTAAACTGCGTCCATCAATACTTCTTAAAGCATGAGGATTTGAATGGCATGTTGAATTGGTAGGAAGCGTTTCTTGACTAGTGTCGTAAAATGTCTTGATGATTTGCGTGTCCGGGAATTTTCTCGGTTACGCCGAACCACCGGAGTATCTTGGGTACGTAGTCAATTGTGGTTTGAAAAACTCGTAAAGGGCTTGAAGAGCTTGTGCGTTCCTGAGCATTGGACCTAATTCGAACCGAATGTTGATCTTGGTTATCTTTCTTCGCAAGGTAATTCTTGCCATTATGTGTCTTCTACATATAAATACTCTGTGCGAGATGCTATCATCTACGCCGCACGTCCTGCATTTAGGTGAGTCGATTAGTTTGAATCGGTATCGGTATGCCTTAGTCGTA